TGTGAGAAGTTAATATTTAATTAAAATTTATTTGATAGTAATTCTATCAGTCAAATACATAATAAATTGCATTATGAAATAATTATAAGGGGCTCTACTTTTTTAAGCAGATGTAGGCGGGACCATTTTGTATGAATTTATTGAATGGATTGAACAAATTAGTTTCTACAATAATGGAGTGTTTTAAAGTAACCAATTTTTGGATTGTATAAGGATAAAATAATTTAAATTAAACTTATTGATATATGTTAATATTTTCTATAGACTTTAGTGGGAATTTCAATTTATTGCATTCGATATAACCACCGTCCATTAAAGTCATAGCACTTTAGCTATTTTTATGTACCACTTCTAAGTTTTTTTGTAATACACAGTAAACAGTAATTAGTTGCATATATCAAAAACACTTTACAATCTATAAGTATAGTCCATTTCATTTAGGAAGTCCACTAAACAATAAAAAATTACATACTAAGAAAACCGTTGAAATCGGTTTATGATGAATTTTGTTATTCCGTTACAGTCCATCTTAACTGAAATGTACTATAAGAGATTATTCCAACCGATAATCGTATTATACAGTATTAAAATATTGTATAAAATGTCCAATCGTATATACTTTAAGATCAAAAGGCATGAATGTGTAAGTTATTACTACAACATATAAAAATATAATCACAAAAAAAAACAGTTTTAAATATTATTAACTTAAAGTCTGTTAGTAAAAGATTACCAGACAAACTCAAGACATGCTCAGAAACCAATATAATTTGAAAGAAAAAAGAATAAATTGCTGTATTAAAACAGAAATCAAGACATAATCTATAAGTATTACGTAGGGACTAATATTCACTTATTTTTTGTTCTTTCTTTTCTTATACTTATAATTTTCTTCATCTCCCTCACCTGCAAAACTTGCCTTTTCGTATGGTTCTCTCGTCTCCTCATTATGTCGATCTATCAGCGAAGTGTTGTACATATCGAAGCTGTCCTACATATACGATAATCTTTATCTTTATCTGTATGTGTATCTTTATCTTTGTCTTCATCTTCATCTTTATGTAGTTCTAATGAACCAAAACAATCGATTAGAAATGTAGCTAACTACATATAATGTATGCATTTAAATAAAAACTATTGTTTCCTTAAGTACAATAAGCAAATTAGACACTTAGTCAGTTTGTTAATAAAAAAGTTTTGCTATAATTTGCATGTTAATAAAAAATTAAAATATTAAAAAATCAACTACTTGGATTTATGAGTTTAAGCTTTTATTTCAACTTATATTAGGAATAATTGTTGACAGTGATTCAACCACAAAATGAATTTGATTAGTAAATTGTGATTAGCTCAGAACACACTTCCATACATACTGCCTTTCACCGTTCCATTTTGCAATAATTAAATTTTGCAGTTAAAAAAATAAATAATTTTTATTTAAATTGTTTTGATTTGATATACACATATAGCGCTTGTACCATTTTCGAATAGAAGGAACATTTTTCTTAGAATCATTAAATTTCATGGAATAACCGCACTACTATTTTACAAATCGAAAAATCTCAGAGTCTGACAAAAAAAAATTAAGATAATAATAATATTAAACAAAAGTTTTATCTTATTAAAAAGGCATGATGTAATAATAATAAGTATACATAAGCTCAAATATTCCTCGATTCATTTTGAATTCAACCCATTATTCCCCTCACTTCGACATCTAAAAAGAAGGGCTTTGATAGGGTCTTGACTTGGAAATATCTTTGATAAAAGATTCGGATAGAGTCAACATCTAAAAAGAAGGTAATCGCTGTAACAAATTGCCTGTTAATGTCTCTACAGAAAATCTATGAAATAATTCTGAGACTAATAAAAGATAAAGTCTATTATCTATTACTGAGCATAGATAATAGTGGCAAAAATCAAGCAAATAAGTGCTCAAGAGTCACTAAATTAGTTGATGAGACTAGCAGATAGATACACTGAAAATATGTTCCATAATTACCATGAAGGTGTTTCTACAATTAAAATCAATAAAAATCCCTTTCCAACTTCCTAATATCTTATCCTACATGGAGGACTCAAAAGACATCTTTAAAATCTGAAGCTGTTAGGAATAACTTAATTTTTTTATTTTTCTGATATTCGTTATAAAAGCCATTTCCAGTGACTTGAAAATTATTTATTCCAAAACAATTAAATGAAAGAACTAGGATCTTAAACAGTCTGCAAAGCATACTGTGTTTGGTTTACCGATAAATCAAAACTATGAAAGACAAAATAATGCTATGGTCTGTAGAGCCACATTTAGCATTGCCGTTCTAATAGAAATTTCTATCGCATTAGTGACTTAATGTTTATATGTATAATATATTATATTTTTTAGGTATTTATATCTTCAAGATCGAATATGTTTTATAGAAATTTATTTTCTTATTCCTTTATACATTTTATTATTATTATTTATATATATTATATATTTATTATTATTGTACATTTTATTATTAATTAATAAATAAATTTAATTCATTAATTTTGCTTAATTTTTATGTAATATTGATAATCAAGTAACAACTTAAGTTCCAATACCCATGTATTCAATCCAGTATGTGGTAACCCAGTATTTTTCAAAAAAAATGTTTCTAAAATGCAGGTCTAAAATAAATGAAAATTTTTTTTTAGCTTTTTTCGACGCAGAACTGTAATGTTCTATTGCAATCGTTAGATCGAAATGCCATTCGCTATTTTAAACTCAATAATCGTAAGAGTGTCTTTGGTTATACTTGATCAGGATGAGATAATGACAAGTTTGCATAAGACTTCACACTAAAAGATGTTGCAATTGTAGCTGTTAATACCTAGAAATCAGCGAAGAAGTTCATATTAAGAAACTGCTAAAAAATATTTTTACTATAAACATGAGACCAAAATGTCTTAAGCAGATTTATATAAGACTGAAAATAATGTTGGCGATCTTCAACTAAAGCAGAGCCAACTCAATATTGCGGTATCGTTACTGACACATTATATATGTCATGTATTAAGACTTCATTTACCCCGACGACTTTTGTCGGGGTTGTGTTTCTGTGGAAGAAGAAGACACTATACTTCACCGCATGCTCATCATTATCTAAAGGAAGATTCGAATTTAACGACAGAGTTGCTGTCTTTAAGAATTAAGAATAAAGCAGACTAGATATTTGGCCTAGATATTTGAGATTTCTACCTTTAAGCTGCTTTAGGTCTGACGTATGTATAATGGAGTCTCATCCGTGGAATCACAGTGCGTTATTGTTTCTATTTAAGTGAGCTTTAATACACAAAGTCTATACTGCAATCTAATCTAATTTAATATTGTCAATAAACTGTGGCTACATTTTTTTTTTTTTGACAGTAGGTATAAGCATCGAAAGCCACCGTGTGAGACTTGAACCCACCAAACCACCTCTTAGGAATGAATGGAGAAGATTTCCACAGCATTGTGAAAACGTCATTCAAGTAATCAGGGGAGAGAGGAAAAAAAATAGACTTAGTACCTAGCGAGCTAGATTTATCTAAACCAGAAAGCAAGGGCGTACATTAGGGAAATTGGGTTATTAAGAAGGGAGCAGATGAGCGGAGGCGAGGTTAGCGGTAAACTTTGTGTCTGGGGTCACGAAAGCCGCTTCATACAAAAATTACTTCTGTTATGTATCGTGGTACAGTATCCGAAAGAACAACATCGCAGATTAGGAACAAAGTTGTATGCTATGGTAAATAGAGATAACAGATCGATTTTAAATGCGGAAAAAAATAATTTCGACTTAATATATATAACAACATTGTATAAAATATTAGATAATGCATTAAAAGAATGCGTGGAAACAGTCAAAAACAACAAGAACAATGTACATAATATGATAAAATTTTCATTTGAACTACTTTTGCTAATCATCGAAAGCATATTCTATTATATATACAAATGTTTAGATAAGATTCAAAATAGAGGAAGATTGAAAGAAAAACAAAGCAGTTGTCTGCTGTAGTTTTAAGATTTGTTTACGAAAGTTTGGTATAGAAGCATAGGTAAGGTTTATAATTTTAAAATTTCAGTGACCTATTAGTTTTCATATAAAACGTTTAACAATCTAAAGATGAAAATAGCTATTAAAAACTATTTTTACACATACTATGTATAACTTTGGTATATGCCAATACATAAGTATAATACTGAAATACAATTTATCAAAAGTTATATATTGCAGCAATCTATAGATATAAGTAACTAAAGCAGAGTATGATCAAATATAATATAATATAATTAATTTTTACTATGCAAAGTAATACCCCAAGTTTTATAAATTGTTTTGGCGCTCTAGAGCGTTAAAACAGTTTCACTATAAGTCATTTTTAGTTTACTACTATAAGCAGTTTTATTACCTATTGACCCTGTGATATGATTCCTTTAACCAGATACCAGATAGAACAAATTCGACAGCCTAAAGTACGATTCAATTGTAATTTGTAGAAATCGAGTTGATTTTTATTTCGTGTCACAATAGTACAATTTTACACTGATATTGTGAATAATTCTCACAAACTAAAACAAGGCAAAACGGACAAAATATTGCTATGAAGACATCTAATACCAAAAGATATGCTGTGTTAACAGGTTCTTAGTGAAGAACCAAGGAAATGATAGCAAAATTAGAATTATTTGTGCTGACAGTAAGGCTATTACATAACTACCATAAAATTATTTTTCAGATTTAAGTGGCAGCTATCAATTAAAAGTAACTTTAAAAATACTAAAGATAGCTATTTTAAAGTTATTATACGTAAAAAAAAAATTAGAAATAATTAAAAACAAAATTTTTTGAATTTTCAGTGATTTTTTAAAATATCGTGAATAGTTTATTCTTTCTTTTTATATAAAATCCATTTTATTATCAAAATTTGTTAAATTATAAAGCAAGATATATAATTTATTAATTTATTCAAATTGAATTCATACTGTAGTCAATTTATATAAATATTTAGTTACGTTACGTTATTAAATCATTACGTTATTTCACGGAAAATGCAACCCTGACTTTTTAACTGCAGGTGAGCATTTATCAGATGTTCAATCAGCTGTGCGTTACTATACGTAGCAAGTGAAAAGCAACAAAGCATTTTTCAGCTTTTATAAACAATTTTGGATAAATTCAAAATTTCTGGGATTTTTATTTAAAAAACTCGTAATAACAAGAAATAAAGTGAAAGTTTTATTGTGCCGAAAAGATTTTTTGTTGGTTTTCTTTATCAAAATGACCTCACGCAAACGTAGTGGTAGCGGCTCTTCCAAGCGACCAAAAGAAAAAGTTGTTTATATTTATGAATTATTTTTTCGTGGTGAAGATCCCACAATTGATAGTCCGGAATTTTGGAACGAATTTTTCTTATTGCAACCAAATGTAGAATCGCTTGAAGCAGAAGTATCAAAACTTACAAACGAGGTGTTTCCGGTAGTCAGAGATAATCTGAATTTATTGTTCCAAAAATGCATTGAAATGTTAGAAACCGGCAAGTATAGCTTATAAACAACTTACACATTTTTATTGAATTTAGATGCTAATACAAAATATATCAATAGATCATCCCAAACGCCTGTGCAACAGTTTGCAAACACTTTGCTCACTCTTCTACGCAATATTCAAAAAGTCAACAGCAGACACAGCATTTGATATACTTAATGAGATTTTTGGTTACGAAAAAATGGACAAGTGGATGAAGGAGCTAATGAATCATTGTAGT